ACATATACATCATGCTTGTAATTCCTGAAAGCGAAGGCAGACCCAAAGAACAGCAAGCTACTTGGACTAAGTTTAGCCAATAAATATGGGTATAGATTGAAAATTGCGAAAATGATAATGATATTAAAATTATCACTAAAGCCCACTTATTCCATTCATCAGCCTATGAGAGTTGTGGCTTCCCTATAAAAAGGGCTTTCGCTATAACTACTACATAAAGGGATGGGTTTGGTAATCAGTATTGGGTGTTTTTACTTAGTTTATAATCACTTGCAGTGAATTTTTATAGGCTGTAATTAATGGTTAATTAATGAATGTTGCCACTACAAGCAATTTTAGTTTAAATAGGAAATTTTTTATGTAATGCTTGGACTTTTTTCCTTTTTTACCTGTAGAGCTTCATCTACTGTGAACATCCTGGCAGTGGTTAAAGCATATTCAGCTTGTCTAATAGGTATAGTGTGGCACATCGTATCCATAAACCAAGTGGGTGCTACTATGCCAAGAGCAGTCTCATTAAGACCTATGGTGTATTTACCTTCCACCATAACTCTATATTCACAGGACATTGATAAAAGGCAACCACCAGCTGGTGCGTGGCCCTGAAAATGAGAAAAGTAATAAAGTGATTTATTTGGTCAAAGGTGTGTTGTGTGTCTCTGTCACTCTTTTAATATGAATATTGTCATGAGCTGAAATTTACAAATCCAGACAGGTTTGTATATTAAAGAAGGAAGTATAGTTTGAACTACAAACTAGTAATAATATCACTAACAACATATTTTTTATTTACTTAATAAATGTGTTAACTTTTCTTTTTATAAGATAAGGGTAACAAATGAGCACACAGTCCACCTGATGATAAGTGGTTGCTGTGGCCCATAGACATCTACATCCATCCTCAAGTACGAATCAAAATGCAGATGTGTTGACACCCGGAAGGACTAAGATGGAATGCCTTGTTTCCAGTAAATAGGGTGGGTTTCCGGTTTTCTACACTCACCATACACAGCAGCATTGAGATGCTATTTTACGCTGGTATTCTGTGAGAGCATAAACTGTGACATTTTGTCCCACAGGTGTCATTAGAGGCGACTATCGAAAATGCCTGAAAAATGTAAAGGCTTCTGATAGATGGTATTATAAATATTTAATTTACACCAGACATAAAATATTCAGACTGGTGACTAGAAGCAGCAACAAGACCCATTTCCAGTTTTAGACTTTTAGCTAATGAATAAGGTAAGGTACAATAAAAACTGTTATAATATGAGATTAAGCTCCTTGGAGCACTTTACATATAAGGGAAGATAAACAATTTATTTTCTCAATTAATAATCTAATTCATGCCACTCTCTTTACTTTAGATGTAGTTAAGAGTAAAAAGAATCAAATCTTACATTAATAGCAGCTGCAGTTATATAGCTAGACCCAAATAATTTTATCCAAACATCTTGCAATGTTGTCCAGAAGATCTCTGCTCTTTTTAAGTCTGGTTTGTACATTTCCATTATGTCTAATCCAGCTGAAAATACTGATGGTGATGACTGAAAATTTATTAATCTATACAGTTAATTTAACAACCGAATTAAACTTGGAACTAAGGAAATAAAGTTTTAGAATGAATGTGAATATGAATGAATCAAAATGCTTTTTTATAGGATAGGGTGATAAAACGAGCACACAGTCCACCTGATGTTAAGTGGTTGCTGTGGCCCATAGACATCTACATCTATCCTCGTTTGTGAATAAAAATGCAGATGCATTGTCAGGCGTGAGGACTAAGATGGAATGCCACATTTCCAGTAAAAAAGGTCTCTGGTTCTCTACACTCACCATACGAAACACAGCAGTGTTAAGCTGCTATTTTATGCTGATATTCTGTGAGCATAGTCCTTCCCTGGTCAAGCTGACCCATTCGCACTACAACTATACTACCAATATAGCTGCAGCATGGCTCTACCACATATATAATGTATTATTATTGTTCTTACCATAACCCTCATAAATGTAAAGAGAGGCTTTCAATGATGTGTTTATTCAAATATGGGGCTTAACATAGGCGCATAAGTTTCATTATATTGTAGCTTCTGGAGTTATCTTGAAATCAGTACTAACAAGATGAGACAATTATAATTTAAGATAATTTTACTGCAACTCATTTTAAGGTCATTTCAATTACTCAAAAAGATATGCTCACTGCCAAATTATCATAATTTATATGGATTTTATTTTGTGAAAATATAACACAAATTTGCAATGAATAAAAATATCTAGCACAGAAAAGGAAATTGTTGTTCATTACTCTTTTTAAAATGCTGCTATAAATTATTATAACTTACTGAAGTTAAGATCATGCTTTTCGTTTTATTTTTTGCCACTTCATCCAGGGACTTGCCTATTTCTTCTAACAATTCTAGATTAAGGCTGTTAACAGGAGGTCGATTCATAGTTAATATTGCTATACCATCATTATCAATAGATAAGTCCACTAAAGGTCCAGCCTGAGCTGCCATTGTCCTGGTCCTAGGGACCAACTGCTTCATACTGTTTACAAAATGTCTGGCTAACAACATTCTGCAAAATAATGTTAACTTTTTAATACTAAAAATAAAAGGTAAGATACATACATCTTGAAAAAGTGTTACTCTTCTAGTAAGAAATGAAAATGAGAAAATGTCAGTCTAGTAGTATAGTTTTTATACAGTAAAATTTTTGAGATTCACTCTTTAGTTTACTAATATATTGTAATATTGCGTTTACTGTTATCAGTAATTAACTAAGTTCTATATTTTTAATTAATTTCTTTGATGTTAGTTGAATTTCAAAGATGATTATGCAAAGTTAACAAAAATATATCCGCTCACATGATAAATCAGCACTTAAAATTGCAACTAACAAATTGATTGAGTGCCAGGGATCGAACCCGGGTTGCTCGTGTACTGAAAAATTTCCGGCGAGGGCTAGTCTCTGAGCAACCCCGCGTGAATTTCGTAGGTAATGAGCGCAAAGTAAAACCATAAATAATCGTTAGAAGTATAAAAGAAGTCCAGTATGTAAGTACTTTAAAATAGCGAAAATAATACAAAAACCTAAGACCAATAAACAAATTTATTTTAACAAGTAATCATGTATAACATCTATATTTGCGTGAGATATAATTTAACGTTTATCTATTTAACCTTAATAATTTTAAGTAAATAAAAAATAAATAACTATAAGTTTCGCATACCTGATAAACTTTTAAATACTTAGATAACTTATAAACCATTAACCTTTGAACTTTGTTATAAATTGTTGTTGCTTGTTGTTTTTATTATTCGCTCGAGAGAGCAGGCAAAGGAACTAAGCCATACAGCCTTCTCTTTTTTATTTTGAATATATAGAATTTTAGAGTGTAAAGGCCGGAACCAAGTTTTATTTTTCTTCTTTTCATCTCTTCAAAATCCATAAAGACCGTAGTCAAGTCTTATTTTCTTTAATTCTTCATATTTTCAAAAACCCGTAAAGGCTAAAGCCAAGTCTTCTTTACATTATACTCTTTGTAAGTTTCAATCCATGTAGATTTTTCAATCCAATATTTTCAAAAACAGGGATACCATATTACATATTTCTTTTACAGTATTATGAATAAAATTACGAAGTGCTAAATATGTTTTAGTATTCCTAAGAACATCTTGCAGGGCACGCGGGCCGCTTTCTGAGTTTTCATAAACTTGTATAAGTTTTTCAATGAGTAGCAATCTTTCTATGGCGTACGCTGGGCAGTTAAATATTATATGTTCTGCAGTCTGATCTACTTCTGTATCGCAGAAATTGCATGTTGCAGATGCTACTATTCTCATTCTGGAAAGATGAGCGTTCAGTCGATAGTGGCCAAATCTAAGTCTGCACATTATTGTATAAAATTTTCTGCTATGATATCTTCGCATATCGTTGCAAGAAAACCAAGGAATACTTAATTCTGAATTAATTGATGCATACCAACGACCTTTTCCTGCCTCTAAAACAGCATTCCATTGCATTTTCCATTCTTCTTTTAACTCTTGCTTTAAAATTGAATATAAATCTGTATGTGGTATTGCAACATCGGTAATCCTGTCAATATCAGCTGTAACTATACTTTTAGCTAAATGGTCTGCTCTTTCATTTCCTTGAACTCCAATATGTGACGGAGTCCATAAAAATTTTACTTCCAAATTATTTTCTTTCAATTTCCACCACAAACTTTTGATTTCATATATGATGAAAGACGTTTTAGCATCTAAAGCTCTTGCCTTCAGTGCCTTCTAGACACTCATGCTATCAGAGATCAATAACCATTTATTAGATGCATGTGGGTGTTCTTCTATATATTTAAGACAGCATAACATTCTGCAGTGTATATGCTTGCTAATGCAGGAATGGAAAGGCCACGTCCAGTTTTCAGATGAGGTATGTAAAATGCACAGGCTACTTTATTTTCAACTTTTGAACCATCTGTGTAAATTTGTCGATATTCATCATATGTAGATATAAGTTCATAAATCTCTTCTTTTCTTTTCAATTTTTCATCAATATTTATGTGTATATCACTGAATTTACATTCATAATTCCCCTTATAACAAGGCCAAGTATGTGTGCTTTTGTGAATATTATATTGTTCGTATCGAAATCTAACGATCGTATCACTTCATGAAAGTCATGGAGCATATATGGGACTGAGTTAGATATAGGAGACATACTATTATAGTAAAATAATACTTTTTGAAAAAGAGGGTGATGAGACAAAGAATTAATATTTAATAAAAACCTAAATTTCAGATATTTAAACCTAAGTAAGATAGGAGGAGTAAGACATTCAGCCTGTAAAGAAACAATAGGAGTTGTTCTCATAGAGCCGGTAATAAGTCTTAAATTCTTATTTTATATATTTTCTAATTTGTTTACTAGTTTTTTATTTGATGCAAAACAAAGAAAGCCGTACTCAAAATGGCTCCTCACCAAAGACTTATATAACATTAATAATATTTCTGGATCAGCTCTTTTTTTAATACATTAAAGGCCTTAGAAGCTCTGTCTGAAATAGAATTCACGTATTTGGTCCAAGATAAATTATTTGTAAAAATTACACCTAAGAATTTTGCACAACTTTCTATTGGTAAAAATGTATTATTATAAATTATTCTAGTGTTAAATGGACGAATTATATTAAATATTACGACTTTACTTTTCTCAGTACTAATATCTAAATTTAAGTATGAAAAGTAAATGTGCAATTTCTTTAAAGCCTCATTTAAAGTGGTTACCAAGTTTTTGACATTTGTTCCTGAGGCATATATGACCAAATCATCTGCATATAGTAAATTAGTAACATTTGATCCTAAATTATTGTTTAATTTAAATATGTATAAAATAAAGATATGAGGACTTAATATTCCTCCTTGACAAACACCTTTATAACTGAGCCTAGGCCCAATAATTGTATTATTATTATTATTAACTTTAGCAAAAACTCTTCTTTCATGTATAAAGTTAAATATCCATTTTACAATTTTTTCAGGAATGGCCAAAGACCTCGACTCTGCGGCGAGTACATGAAGATTAACGTTATTAAATGCACCAACAATGTCAAAGAATATACTAAATATTACTTCTTTATTTTCCATAGCCTTAAAGATGTCTAAATGTAGAAATGCAATACTTTCTCTAGATGACTTACGGCGTCTGAATCCAAACTGATTTGATGGTAAAAGACTATTTTTTTCTAGATAAAATTCTAATCTAGATTTTAGAAGTTGCTCAAATATTTTACCCATACAAGATGTAAGTGCTATAGGTCTATAAGATTCTGCAATGTGAGGTTTTTTCCAGGCTTTAAAATGGGTATCAAACAATCTTCTTTGCAATCGTTAGGAATAAGTGAATGAAACCAGGTACGACTTTCCATTTACTCCCATCGAGTTGGGGGTTGATACGTATTTTTACAGAAAAGTTACACTATTATAAGCACACATACAAAGTTACAATATGCGGAAGCGCGTAATTTTTGAGAAAAAAGTTATTGAAAATCAATTATCCTTACATTGTTTATGTCTAATCCTACAATAAAACTGACGCCATTTTTTTATTGTCATTGTCAGTAGGGATGTCGATTCTTTCCGAAAAATATCGATTTTTTAAATAGATTCGAATTGTAAGCTGATGTATCGATTCCCAAAAAATCGATTTCTAAAATATCTATATTTTCTTCATGTTTGCATTTATAATGTAAATATAATATAATAAAATATAGGGGGACTGATTTAGAAGGATTTCTGTATCTATTTTGAAACTGCTACGTCTTCGGCGCTGCGGGAAGAGCAGCCTCTACGCCTTAGCGTAACAATTCGCAGGCATTTGTTACAGCAGGCGGAGGCTGCTCCCCCTACGCACCTCCGGCTCTATAAAACCACTCTAGAGGTAGGACAGACTCGTACCAGGTGGAATCGGGGTCAATCAATTAGGTTCTTTGACATAAGTTGAACCTAACCTATTTTATTTGTTATCTGCCCTAATTGGTACTGTTGAAATAAAACAAATTTCAATAAGAGATCATTTATTATGATATCTTTCTTGTTTTTCATAAAATGGAATTATATTTACATTATAAATGCAAACTTAAAAAAAATAGATATTTTAGAAATCGATTTTTTTATGAATCGATACATCAGCTTACGATTTGAACCGATTTAAAAATCGACCTTTGTCGGAAAGAATCGACATCCCTACTGACGACAATGACATTACAAAATGGCGTCTATTTTATGGTAGAATTAGATATAAACAATGCAAGAATAATTGATTTTCAATAACTTTTTTCTCAAAAATTACGCGCTTCCGCTTATTGTAACTTTGTGTGTGTGCTTATAATAGTGTAACTTTTCTGTAAAAATACGTATCAACCGCCAACTCGATGGGAGTAAATGGAAAGCTAAGCCATGAAACCATAACATATTATATATTTTCTAAACTAGTTCTCTACACGCAGTATTCATATTTTTTAAAGCTTTATATGGAACAGAATCTAAACCATAAGTAGTGTATTTTCTAGAGTTAACAGCTGAATTGAATTCGGTCAAGGTAAAAGGTTTGGTAAGATAATCACAATGATTATCATTTGAGGAGTGAGGGGTTAGAGGTGTTTCATCTGTTTCTGGAGTAAATTTTTTCAAAAATTCATTAGCCCAATTAGAATCTATGACAGATGTGTTATTATGAACAGAGGCGGCCTTACTTATTGCGAGGCTCCGGGCGACAGGTCTTTACGAGGCTATTTGTCCTTCGTGAAAAGTATGTGATGCGAATGTAGGCCTGGTTGTTTGGTTTAGGTATTTGTCATGTTTCAGGAGAAATGCTAAAGTTATACAAATAAATAATATTTGAGTTTTAAAATAGTTTATATTGAAAGATTTACAAAATTAACAAATACAGAGATGATAAATTTTTAAATCGATGTTTGCGGCTTTTCCTAAGCCTAAAATCTTTATTTAAAGCACAATAATCTAACGAATGAGCTACGTCATTTTTGATTGAAAGAATAGCAAGGGCTGAAAGCATGTCATGTCATCGAATTCCTCAAATATGTTGTAATAATTTTAAGCCTCGAAAACCTCCTTTCAACAGACGCAACTGTAACAGGTGTGGTAGCAATAATTCTTAGGGCTATTTCGATAATGGCTAAACATCAGTTATTTATTTTCTATTAAGTATTCCATCACCGAGATAATGTCGTCGTTTCCTTCATATACACGGATGAACGTATTCAGTGCTTCGTACAATTCACGTCCATCAATATCACATGATTCTCCTACTGTCATAGATCGCTCCATTGCTTTAAAAGTTCACTATCACTAATTTCCTTTAATTCTTTTATATTATACATGAAACCAAATATGCTCCCATGATGTTTGAGAGCCTCAAACCTGGGATGGCAGGTTGCATAAACATTGTCGACAATGACAAATATAGTTTGTTTGAAAATTTCTTCCGCATTTAATTAATGAGCTTTATTTTCCCCTTCATAATCAAAACGCCTTTTTTTTACGTCGTCTTCTGACTTCTTTGAACTGTCTGTCAATATATTTTCCTCTGCTATTTCTCTCACGTCTTGGTTTGCGAATGCGAATAGGTGTTGTGTTGTATAGCCACATCTAAGTGCATATTTTCGCTTTCCCACATTTTACTTATAAAATTTATCTCTTTAAGTTTTTTTTTTGTGGTTTCACTTGTCATATGGTATGACATTTCATTCCATATGGCAAGTGAAACTACAAATTCGTAGGTAGTTATTTTATTTTCTATGGAATGGCATACACTGACCAAATGACAATCTGTTGTATTTTCTGCTAAATCCTTTAAAGCATCACATATATCGCTTAGTTGGTATTTAATGGCCTTCACCGCTGCTACCCTGCACTCCCATCTAGTTTCAAAAGTGGTTTTAGCGATAATGATTTTACATGCGACATTTAAAATAGTCCACCTCTGATTTGAGCCGGCAAACAGAGTGTACAACCTTTGTAGCAAACTAAAAAAAGATTTTGCTTGGACACAAGATGATGCTGCATCTCCTATGATAAGATTCCAGCTAAGAATCCCACAAGGTAAAAAAATAAGCAAGTGGATTAATTTCAAGAATACGTTTTTGGACACCACTTTTTCACCACGCATATTGGCACATTATCATATCCTTAGCCTCTGCAGTTTTGCAATGATATACCTAACTGTTCTAATTATGTGATTATATAATTAGTCAAACTCTCAGCTGTGGTTTTTTCGACGGCTAAGGAACCAATAAAACGTTCCTCAATTTAAACTGTATATGTAATAAAATGATTACTATAATTGAAGAATTTGAGAATTGAATTGAATTATTATCCAAGAATATTCGACTAATATTTATTATTTATTACTTTTTCAACAATTTGAGTCTTCACGTGATTTGCCATTAATTGTATGAATTCATTTTGAATACTTTTTTCGATATAGTGGTCATTAATCGTCCTGTGCTTTATTTGTTTTAGGTGAAGTCTCAGCACGGGATCAAATCGGGCTATTAACTTTACTAAATCTATAAAGTTGCCGCTTGTCTCTCCAACGTTGCCTTTCTTGTTCAATTTGTGACTGGGCCAAGAAGTCAATAGGAACAGCTTTTTAAACCATTCTATAAATTAATCCATTTCAACATACAATCTTTGTGCTGTCGACTAGATTCGTGGGACTTTAAGTAATCACACAAGTGTTTCCAATCACATTGTGTGACTTCACTAGTTCCAATCTTTGTATTTTCTGGCCCGAATATTTGACACGGAAAGCAGTAAACGGCATCTTTTGTTTGTGAATAGATCATCCAGCGCCTGTCAAGCTTTTCACCGTTAACTAATATCTTATTATAATGATATTCGCTGAATCACCGTCCATTATCATTTACGGAAAATAAATCAACTTTAATCCGGATTGGACCTTTTAATACAATCTCAGTTCAGTCTACATCAGTCATTGTTATAGGCCACACCGGGGTCATTTTTCCATTCCAGCAGTCATGGATAAAGACACAGACTCGGGCTCAGATTTGTGTTCTTGACTGGATAGCGTTGACGGCGGTGACCTAAGAGACAATGATGTAGTTAATTCATCATCATCCTCGTTGTTTTTACTTAATGATGGCGGCGGCACCCGTGATGATGTGGAATGAATGTTTTCAGCTGGATCAGGATTAGAGGCACTTTCAATCAATAAATGTTTCATAGAGGTTTCTTGATCATCACTTTTTATATAGTTATATAAAGATCCAAAAAGATTTTCTTTTGCCTGCTTTCTTTTGATGGCTCATTTACTGAACTACCAAACTCAAATTTTCTACCTTTGTCAATCACGATCACGCAAACTCATTTCTTAAATCTCGTTTTTGTTTCGCACAAATAGTCAGAAATAATTTTTCAGTATCACACAGTTCTTTTCTAAACTTTTTCAGCTTACTCAATACTTCAGATACTATAATTTACACTTTTTTTAGCTCACTCAATACTTTAAATATTAGAAGAACGTAATAGTCACTAAAATTGAAAGATATGTAAGGTACAGTAACGATTTTGTAACTCATACTGCAATCAAAATAATTCCAAGGTGACAACAGTTGACGAATGAAATGAAACATGGGGATTCCCCGAGCGATAGACGAGCACAACATTATATCCCAACCCCCGAGCTGACACGAGTGCTATGCGATTAAAAAAACGATCTTCAAGTGTTTCGAGGCGCGATATTCAAGTACTACATAATTAAATTTTCAATTATGTTTTGAATGAATGAATTAGTTAACTTTATTTTAATTTACCGTTATGTTATAACCTTAATAAGTAATTAAGGATCAAAATCAAAAGTTTTAAATAAAAAAATCCATATTTTTTTAAAATTTGCTTGGGTTGTTGCGCGAGGCCCCTTCAAGAGCGAGGCCCCGGGCAATTGCCCTGTTCGCCACCCCCTAAGGCCGCCGCTGATTATGAACAAAAGTTTTGTTAAACTTTTTAATGTAATTCCATACTCTAGTCATTGGAGTAGGTCTATTAAAAGTTTCACATAGTTTTTTCCAGCTAAGCTGTCTTTCAGTCTTCAAAGTAATTTTTTTAACAGCTTGTTGTCTTTTAAAATTAATATAATTTCGTTCTGTGGGATCATTCTTAAATACTAAATATGCATTTTTACAATTTAATACTGCCTCTTTGCATTTTAAATTCCACCAAGGTAGAGAATGTTTTTTTTAATTCTTTTAAAAGAT